GCTAGAGATTAACTTTCATCTTCCCACCACATCTAGGTAGGAAACAGAAGGAGAATATTAAGATCTGTTCTCTCAATAATGATCCTCTGCTCTAAGAAGTCTTTTACTCCTTACAACTAAAAAATATGTGAAATGAGTGGAATTAGAACAAAATCAGCTCCTCTTCAGAATGCAAATATCCTTATGAGCTGAGAAGTCAGAAACAGTACCATGAATACAAATATGTTTCATTTGAAATAGAAGGGACTTTTTATCAATACAGAAGAGAGGAATAAATCCCCAAATTGGGTCATGAAAGTGCACTTTGGACTTACTTTTATTCTTAATGGAGAAGCCCATTCCTGAAGTTTTTAAGGAACTCTGCCAGGGGAATGACTCCAAAGGAGCTCTGATACAAGGAAAACTTCACGCACCTCTAAGATGTGGTGTGCTTTTCAGATAAGTATTTTTATTGCCTTTTTTTAAGTTACAGAAAATATTCTCTCCAGAGGCAGAAAAGAAGATAAATGGTTTACATTATTCAAAGCAAAAAAAAAAACAAAACAAAACAAAAAAAAAAAATCATCCTGTTCAATATAAGATCTCTAAAAATACCTGCCTTACCAGCACAGCCCACCTCAGAGAATGGATCAAATTTCTAGCATTGATAATTTTGCAGAGGTAATGTATTATCTCCTCCATCAACTGCTTACCAACAGGAAAATAATCTGTGGGGAAACAGCATGAAAATACCAGAAACTCAAGTGCTGAATACTCCAAGTAACAATCCTCAACAATTTTGTCAGTAGAAGGCGCCCAAGAAAAAAATCACTCTTCCTGTCCCAGCTCTTAGTGGGACTGGCAGGCTCAGACATCCTCTTGCCTCTGACTCTGTTGCCTATTGCATTCTCATATTTAATCTAGAAATGTGTTACGAAAAGTCAGATATGCTTATGCCAATAATCTGTTCCTGAGTCCAGCAAGTATCTGCATTCTGCACTTAAGACTGAGAGCTTGTGAAACTCGTGTTGGTTAAACACAGGCAGAGGAAAATGACACGTTGTCTTTAAATGCTGTGATACTATTTAATATTATATTGTTTTCTATTAAGTGATTGAGAGGATTTCACTTGTAATGTATACCCCTGCTAAAAATAAGATTGCCTAGTTCACTCACAGTTCTCAACTTCCTATTAAAACAGGTCCTTATTAAAATTGTGTTAAATCTCCTTTCCGTTGGGAATTTTGGCATTTGTTTTCTTGTCAGATTCGAGTAACAAGCTGAAATGTAGCAATTTACAGGAAAATCGGATTTCAGAAATATTTTCTTTCAGGAGGATCAAACTGCTTTGTGTCCAGAGGGATTTTTCAATCTTCATTGCATAATAGCCAAAATAAAATGTTTGACACAAAAAGCTTCCAATGATTTCCCATAGCATCCTGATAAAACCTGATTCATTTTTGGGAAATGTTCCCATTTTGCCAAATCAGTAATATCAGATAGAAAAATGCATCAACCAGCAGCATTCAGCCACCTCTGAATTCAATTTTACTCATTCAATTGCTGTACTTGCTATTTTTTTCTCACTTTTTATTGACTGAACTTTGTTCATTGGATTTCAAAAGTGTTTTCCCAATAGTATCTTTAGAAAATACAAGAAAAGAGGTTCTCGGCTGGTGGAGGCTGGCAAAGGTCCAGCAAAGTCAAAGGGCCTCAGCTGAGGCACTGGCCCTTTGTGAGTGTTCACAGAGGCTTTTTATACACTGCAGAAATGCTGGGTTATGCAGAGAAGTCAGGAAACCTCACTGTGTCTCCAGTTTGCGAAGGTTACAGATATTTTAGCAGCCACCAGTCATTTAAGGCTAATGGTACGGTGACAGTTTTGGATAAAGGAAAAGACTCAGTGGGCTTCAGATAACACTGATTGCTTTACTTGACCGTGCACTTTCCTCACTGCCCTGAGTGCAGCACTCAGTGTGCTTAGGAGAGCCAGAGGATGTATGCTCAGGAAGATAAGTACGTATCTGGAAACTACCCAAAGCACCTCCTGCTGCCTCTTGCTTTCATTTTCACTCGGGTTCCGAGCAGTTTGAAGAAGTAAATATGCAGCATAAAGCTGGAGGAAAAACATTCTGTGGCAAAACCTGCCGGAGAGAACAGACTTTCTGCAAGGAAACTGGATATTCGAGAGGTCATCATCCTATCCATGGGGCTGTCTGAGTGTTTGATGAACACAGGAGGGACCCTGAGTGCAGCCTGGGGATCTGAAGTAATTCTCCTTCCTACCAAATTATCTCAAACATGCTGAAACCTTTCCATGTTGGACCTAGAGCAGAGGTTTGAACTGATGGCATTTTTGCATATATTTGCATTGCTCTTTGCTGTGGAAATTGGCCAACAGTCTCAGGGGCTTTCATCACTATGGCTTTTACCATAACCTTTTACTGCTTAATCTGCATGGAGTCTGTCATGGATGGCCATTGCCTATAGACAAAAATTTATTTGCCTCCACAGTATCCCAGACACATCCTGTGGGCTATGGAGAACCCAAAGTTCCTCAGGAACCCACCCTCATTCTCTCACCTTTCTGTACTCCCTAAATAGATGAAAATCAGTCCATCTATACCAGCACACTAAAGACGACATTATAGAAAAATACATGGGATCTAATGTGCTAGCTGGTCCTGATCCACCCCAAAAAGTAACTGATATCAGTAAAGAAAACTAATTCAGAAAACTGATCTTCATCTAAAACATATTGCTCCACCATGATGCTGCTCCCTTGCATGAGAGTGGCCTTGGGTTAGGAATTCCCTAATAATGATGCTGCACTTTCCTGAGACTAAGGAAGGTTCATCCTACAGAGCTGCTTCATGTGTCAGATCTGGCTTAGCCAAATGAAAAGTTTTGAGTTCCAAGAGAACTGAAAAATATTTCAGAGTATGTTTTTGAATTTTTAAGTTCAGAGGTTAAAAACGTCCACCAGATAGTAGTAACTGAATTATATGAAAGCATAACCTATTTTATAATTTAATTTCACTGAAAGTGAAGTTAAAGTCCTATTGATGAGAGAAAGAAACAGAAAAATTTGGCACTGCATAAGAAATAGAGTATGAAAATCAGAAAAAAAGCACGAATAAAGCAGGCAAAAGACAGGGAACAATACCAAACCCAAGAAAAGAGCATTGCATTGTAATCCAGTTCTTAATACACAGTCATGCCTCAGTGCACAGATGGCCATGAGCATTAAAAGAATATAGGACTCAAAAGCACAGGACCATACTCTCCTATTCCCCCTCAAAAATAAAGGAAAAGAAAAAAAGACAAATCTTGTTTGAGACTACAGGAGATGAGGCTTTAGCCTCATCATACAAACACATCTGAGGGACTGGCATCAATGGGAAGATGAGAAATATTAGAAAAATTTCTCACAGAGTTTTTTGGAGTGGAGGAGATCATACTCCTGAATACCTCAAGCATAGGAAGTTATTCACTGGGAGAAACTGAGCTGCAGCTCAGAGTACAGAGATTTGATCAGCAGCCCCTTGAAATCAATGTAAAAATCCGACTGTTGGCAAGAGTGCTCAGACCAGACTCCCCTTCCCACAAGGCAGTAAGTGCCCCTCTATTCAGTTCAGCCTGTATGGAGAGACAGAGCTCAAAATAGGGCTCTGCAATAAAGAATTTAAGGAAAAGACTTGCAAAAATGCCATTCTGAAGGACTGTAAACATGGACAATTCACCATAAAGCTTTGTAACAGCTGCTCTGCCCAGGGATGACAAATGCTACCTCCTCCACTGAGAGATGCAGAGAGAGAAATCAAATATGTCAACTGTTTTTACTGTGCAATGTTGCCTTCCAATCTTTGAAAAATATCAGATATTAAGAGAAATATGTGGGGAGAATGTGAATAGGCATTCAGAAATGGAATTATCCAGAGAAAATGTTGAAGGTATTTTAAAATATCCTGAGAGGTATGCTACCCTCACAGAGCAAGGAAAGGAGAAAGAATAATAGAATAAAGCTAATAGAAAACTTGTTCGGTGTTCCTATGACGTTGTAAAATAAAATATAACATGTAGGAAAGCGAATGTCAGAGTGTGATATCTGATTGCTGCCAGACCTTGCACCCAAATGTAAAGTTTGCAGGTGCTCTAAAAACAACAGATACGAGAGATGCATTTAGAAATGCAGGAAAAGGGAGGGAAATTAAAGAAAAAAACACTTGAGCACATTTTCAAAAACGGTACAGGAGCCTGATGAATAAACCTCTTGTGTAAATGTCATTTAGTACAGGTCAACATGTTACCATCTTCCTTTCTTTTCCTCCATGTTAAATGAACTCGTGGTTTTTTCACTCCATTCCCCATTGTTGAAAGGGAACACTGCAGAGCTAGACTGTAGCTGCACCTCATTTTTAGCCTCTAAGGAGGTGAATATTTCCTTCCTATCTCTCTCAGTTCACCTAGATATAAGAGGCATAGTCACATACAGCACCCAAATACCCACTTAAAAACCCCTCCATACAGTAACGCTGAAATGGTATTTTTGTACAAAAATATTATCTATATTATACATTTATATTTATATTTAAACATAAAATATATACTAGACTAAAACTTATTTCAATGCATAGATCTCTGCTGAGGTCATCCACATCTAGATGTTATCTGAATAATCATTGAATGCATAAGTAAAACTTTCTCAGTTACATATTCATGGGGATGATTCAGTTTTACATTTGCTTTTTTTAACAGGAGATAATCACTCACGTGAGCCAGGATCTGTGCCTGTGCCTGATGCACAGGACCCTTCCCTCCTGTGGTGTCTGTGGAACTCATCCCTGGTGTAACGATGTCAGTGGAGATACACCAGGGGCAGCCTTGATGTGCTGCTCTGTCACTCTGTCTGGTGAGGCTGTGCATTGCCAGGCATCTATTTGTGACATGCTGTTATAATTCCAGAACTCAGGGAATTCAACACAGTATTTTCAGACTCAGTCTGGCAAAACACAGAAGAAACAACACACTGTGTTTTCTGAAGTTCTCATGAAGCCATGGCAGCATTTGCCATCCACCCCTGGGCAGTGGTTTTGTTGGGGCAAGGTGATAGAATCTGTGTTTAATTTTTTGGGACAAATGAGGGAACTGTTTGCTTTTTGGTGGTTGTTGTTTTTGTTTTGTTTTGTTTTTTTAATTTGAGAATAAAGGCTCCAAGATGGAGCAGCAGACTGAATGGATAATAAATAAAAACTTGCAAGTACATCTTCATAGTTGTAATTAAAATACCTGTAGTAAGGGGCTGGTTTTCTGACACAGATCATGGTCCCTGGCTGTTAATCTTTCTGCCCCCAAACTAAATCCCATATCCCCTGCCTAACTGAAGTTTCACTGTCTGTCCAGTCAGACTCAGTAGCTGTTGGATTAAGAACATTCAATGTGTTGAATTGTTCCAAATCTACCTGCAGATTTCCCATCTCCAGAAGAAGGAACTAAAGCTTCACATCAGAGAGAAGAAAAACGTTCCTTCAAGTCTCAAACCACTGCAGAAGAATAACTGAGGTAAACTCCAGCTTCTACCTGTGCAGGGTGGAAAGTGGTACAACCCTTGCTCATGTCTGATGGAGCTGCATAATGCATTTTGTGGTGTGCAAAGTTTAAAGCCCTTCAGACCATTTTGTATTTTATGATGCAGGTCTTTGCTGCACCAAAAAAAGCATCTGAGGTAATGCAAAGTAATTCCTGTCTTGTTAGGCTACAGCAGAACCTTTCCCTACTCACTCTCTGCTCTTCAGCACACAGCAATTTACTTTTAGTTTGCCATTAGGGTAAAATATTTTTTTCCTCAGAATGAACCACAGGAAATTTTTCAAAGTGACACAGGATGATGCTATCAAAGAAAAAGCTTTGTCACATGTTCTGTAAAGGACAATTTCTTTTACAGCCTGAAATACCACTTGCCTCTTGTGAAAGTGTTGGCAAATTCTGGACTCAAGACCTCTGAAATCAGCCTTTATCATTCTTAGGGGTTTTGATCTCAGCTAAAACCCAACCATGGAAATGGCAAATAATTAAAACCTCCCAGCTTTTGAGATTTGTTGCTATTGTTAATACTTCACTTTAGGGAAAAAATCTCATCAGTGCTTGGGAGCCAGTGGTCAAGAGCAACATACTTCAAAATGATTAATTTAGCAAAAAGACTTACAGCATATAAGTCAGCATTATTGCACAGGTGTGTTTAGCAGATCGAGATTTTACTGCTTTCCTGGCTGCAAACACTGAATCACATCCATTTCTACCTTAAATGGCACCTATTCCAGAAAGGCAGCTCTCCCCACACTAAGAGCTGAAGATGAGCAGCATGTTTTTCTACTTCACTCATGTCAACAGAAGCATCTTTGAGAAGAGTTATTAGTAAATTATTTGCTTTATTGGTGAGGAGAGAAGCCTGGGACTGGAAATTACTGGGAAGTTTCCCTCCTCCTCAGCTACAGCACACAATACCAGAAACTTCATACCCACTTAATATCTGTGAAAAAGCTTGATCATTTCATGACAATACTGCTGAAATAACTTCTACAAGCAGAGACACTTATTACTGTTGCTTAGAATATTGTAAATATTAAGAAGCCAACCATTTAAATTAACAGAGTACTTGGTTTTCTGTTGCTGTTTATTTTACTGTATTCAAACAGCAAAATAACATTTCAAGGATCAGCACTTTATTATAAACTAATACCTTTCCTAGTAACTGAGGTTTTCCTGCTATTCCCAACCCAGCCCTCACACTGACAGAAAGGCTGAGTTAATTTCTCAGTGGAACAGCAGTGGGAGAGAGGGATAGGAGGAAGAGAAAGAAATCTGAGATAAGGCCGAATAAACCCCATTTTTCTTCTAATTTGGTAAAGGCAGATTGAGTGACGTAGTATGAATTTTAACCAGATCTTGGTAGAGACATCTGATTATGAAAGTTATTTCAGCAAGCAATGAAGAGAAGTCCAAGCCTGTTTTCAAAATAATTCACATGTGACAAAGCCAGCAATTGCTGATTTGTGCTGGGGGATATTTCTAAAGGTTTTGTTTTGCTGAAATCTTTATGGTATTTTATGGAAAAGCAGGAAGAGGAGAGGAAGATGCAGCACTCCAGCAGTCACACACACCCCTGCTGTAACTCCCAGCATCACCAATGCCAGCAATTAAATTTAGTGAGATTTTTGCCCTCAACTTACAGGGTCAGACTTCAGCACTTACTAAAGGTGGACTTTCTCACACTTATTGAAAGAGGTCTCTTTCAGAAATTACCTGGACAAAATTAGTGACTTTCTTACAGCTTCTGATGACAATAATGAAAGGCTTTCAGAGACCTTTGCTTGTCTGGCAGAGTCTTTCTGAGTAACTAAATTAACACTGTTTGAGTTCTTTGCTAAATTGGGGCCCTTGGTAGAAGAGTGGTAGGATTTCTATTTTAGATTTTCTTTTCTAAATCTTAACTATTTCTCAAGATAAAAGCTTTCTTTCAGTAAGACACTTGAAATTATCAGTTAATAATTTTTTTCCCGTTTCTGTCCAGAAATTTTTGCATTTTTATAATACTGTAACACTATATACCACTAATAATTTCATATTGACATAAAAGTGACATAAAAGTTGACTATACTATTTTGAAAATGTTTTTGCTATTAATTTATTGACCTTTATAAGTCATCTGAAGTAAAAGGGTAAAGGGTAAATACTATGTCCCAAGAAAATGCACTACCACTTGTTTTTAAATTCAGCTGAAATAAAGTATCAGCAGTGCAATACATGTTAGACCATAACAAATATCCAAGACACTAAATCAATGATCATGACTTCAGAGTTTCCATGCATAAAGCACCTTCTGCAAAATGCAGATTCTAGTTTTCCTCTTCCACCTAATTCCCTTAGGGATATCTTTATGCACACTATTATAAATTACTTTTCTACTTCAGATTTTTAATTCCTCAAGATAGAAACAGGATCTTATTTTAGATCTAAAATACCACTCTTATTTACACTGCTAAATGGAAAGAGAGATAATATTTTGAGACTAGCATGATCTTTCAATCCTATCAGCTCAATTTCCTGCAATCTAAGCTAAAAACATGCACTTGCAAACTCTTGTCTGAACTGTTGCAAAAATGCTCTGCCAAATGCAGCATCTGCAGACCAAGATTTGCAGCCTTCTGTCAAGTTGCTGTGAGCTGTAGCACAGTTCCTGCAGCTCCCATGCAGCCTGTGGTGTGCAACATGCTATACCATGCTTGCTATACATATAGAAGATAGACAGATTGATAGATAGATAGATAGATAGAAAGAAAGAAAGATAAAGATGAACAGGCTTTTTCCACTGACATAGCTTAAAGCAGACCCAAGGCATGTTATGATGTGATGTAGTCTGAGATATTTCCTTCCCTCACACTATTGAACCTTTTCTAACCCCTACTCTCTCAGAAGGAAAAGAGACTCCCTTGGTAAACACCATTTGCTCCTGACCTGGCAGCTGCCCTTATGCTTTATGGTACATAAAGATCACACAGATACCTACACTCATGTGCAAAATCACTCCTTACCTCTGCACTCATACAAGATACCAAATGTACAGCAAAGCCCGTGGAGCAGCTGCAACAGGGCTTCTGGTGTGGGCTCCATGGGCAGGAACAGCTCTCTCCTGTGCCTCATCACTCCTTGGCAGCCTTGGGATGAAACATCCCTGGGCGAGGACAGGTTGATGACAGGGTAGCCCAGCCAGGCTGAATACCTCTTAGTTTTGTCAAAAGTTGCAGAGGATTCCTGTTGCAATGCACACAAGCTTCCCATCAGTCTGCCTTGGTAGCCCCTTGGCCCTACAATCTCATTTGCCCCTGTGTGCACGAGTTTGTAATGAATGCACATGCCACTCCCCATCACAGCATTCCTATTAACAGGTTGGAATCAGATCACACAAATGAAACACTTTGAGAGCTAAACTATTGTGATTTCAATAGACTTTTTGCTGTAATAACAGCTTCAATCAACAATCAAGGTTTCCTTCTCAATTTTTGGTGCTTGCATTTTGTGGCAGTTTAATTCATTGTATACTAATTCCAGTTGTGCATTAATTGTATGTTTCTGCACAGTAATTAACTAATCACTATGTCACTCCCTCCCTATTATGAATTACCTCATTAATTCAAGACTGAAAGCTTGGTGCCTGCTGCCATTGCTATCAATTTTTTTGGTTCTTTCTGCTGCTTCTTGACTTATAATCAAATATGAAACTCATGTATTTTTAAATACTCTCTCTTCTGTTTCTTCCACTGAAAAATTCATTGTGCTATCAAGCTTTTTAAAATAATGTTTATTCATTATGCATTTCTTTGCTAGGCAATCAAGAGCTGTTACAATAAAGAGTGTGACTTGCTCTCTTTATGGCAGTGATTCTGCTGTATCAACATCTCCATTTTAATCCTAAGTTTACTAGAAATTAGAATTTAGATCTAAAATTTAGCTCCAAGGTTAAAGGCATCATCAGACATCTTTGCATGGGGGACAATTTCTTTATTATTACAATTAAATGACTGGACATTTTTAGGTTATACTTGGGGGCAAAAACTTCAACAAGGGCAGCAGAGCTGTGCACATGTGCCTGGAAGGTCAGAGCCTGGCCAGTGGAAGCAAGTGCTGGAAGATGCCCACAGCACAGATACCCAATTTTGATTAACAGGATACTTGAACTGTTAAAACCAGTCACGCACAGCACTGAACCAAGTGCTTTGCTATTGCAGTCTGGCAGCTCCTGAGTGCAGGGCTAAGAACCAGTGCTTAGATTCAGAATTTGCTGAGTCAAGGTCCTGCTCCTCTAAGAAATTGTCTTTAAAGCAACCTGTATTTCACACAGACTATTCAGAGAGTCCTTTTTACGCTGAAAGGCAAAAAGGGTCTTCCATACACTTTGTTTTTTTCCAATAAAACAATGAATTGAGATTCTAAAACGTGTCAGCACGTCTTATGAGGACTAGATGGGAAATCTAATTATTCTACATGGGCAATGTATGTACATGCATGCTCCTAATCCAAACCCACTGCAAAGTCAGCTGACATAACTGTAGTAACTGATTTTTAATTAAGAATTGAAGTACCACTTTTCAAACAGAAGTCAAGAGCCTTGTTTCTCTGCTAAGTTGCTGCAGCACAACGTAATTCGAAGGGAGAATGTGCAGCTGTAACATCTAAAAGGCCAGAGAAACTTTTTTTAAAGGAAAAGGCATTGCTCTTGAATAGGAGCTGTGAAAATCATCCTGCAGTCCAGGAAATGTGTTAAGGAATGTAGAGAACCTTTGAGGAAGACAGATTTGGTGCCCAAAGTATCTTCCCTTAAAAAGAAATAATCATGAAACTAACAACCAGTGACTAAAAATCTAAAAGCATATCTGGAAATTTTGGAGTGGTTTTATTACTGCCTCTCACAGAAAGGAAAAGAGGCCCCTCTGCAGAGAGGCTGCTGCTAATGAATGGCCTGGATCCAGGGCTGCTAAACACACACAGCAACTTCTGTTCCACCA